CAGGGCACTGTTAAAAAGTCTGGATTGATAAAGAACCTCCAGAACAGGAAGCTCGCAGCCCACGGTCCTCTCTGCAGAGCGGAGCACCTTGTTTAAAGCTCTCTTTTCTTTATCTGTGATGTTACCGAACCACACAGACACAGAACCAACAAGCAAACTCTCAATGGTGCAGCGATAAAAGTTCAGCAGAATCTTAGAGTTAGTGGTAAATTCTCTAAGTTTCCGCAGGAAGTAGAGACGCTGACGAGCTTTCTTTACGACTCGGTCAGTGTTTTTAACCCATTTCAGGTCATCAGACAGAGTTAGACCCAGAAACTTACACTCCTCTACAATCTGCACTTGGGAGTTATCGATTGCGACAGGCAAATGAGAACTATTGCGACTGAAATCAAAGACCAGTTCGCATGTTTTGGATGCGTTCAGCTGGAGGTTGTTAGCCTTACTCCACTGAACCACATTTTGGATCTCGGCTCTATAAGAGGATTCATCGTTATTACTGATGAGACCGATGATGGTGGTGTCATCAGCATATTTGATGATCAGGTTAGAGTCTGAGGAAGACACACAATCATGAGTGTACAGTGTAAAAAGTAAAGGACTCAAAATACATCCCTGAGGAGATCCAGTGCTCACAGAAACAACATCTGAAAAACAGTCATTGATTTTCACTCTCTGAGATCTGTCAGTAGCTCAGTTGGTAGAGCATTGGCCTTAAGGCCAGAAGGTTGTGGGTTCAATTCCCACCTCTGCACCTTCTCCACCGTCTCCCACTGTTGACTGCTGTCGTTGTGTCCTTGGGCAAGACACTTAACCCCACTTTGCCCAAAGCCCCCACTGAAAGATCAAGGCTATGCTCACAGTCAGAGAAGAGCCGTCCTCCTGTGGACTCACCACCTGCAGAGGGTCAGTGAGGGGCTGGTGCTATGAGACTTGGGTGGCATCTCTGACTGCCACCCCCCTGACCCAGAAATGGATTAAAGGGTAGAAAATGGATGGATGGATGGATGGAGATCTGTCAGTTAAAAAGCTATAGATCCATTTACACATGGCAACACTTAAACCCAGAGACATGAGCTTTTCAATCAGTTTACCTGGGACAAGACAATTAAAAGCAGAGCTATAATCAATGAACAGCATTCTTGCAACAGATTTCCTATTGTCCAAGTGACTGTAGACAGAGTTCAGAGCAAAGGAGATGGCATCCTCCACACTCCTGTTCTGTCTGTAAGCAAACTGGAGCGGGTCAACACTCACAGGGATCTGGCTCTTAATGAAGTCCAGCACAAGCCGCTCAAAAGTCTTCATTAGGACAGAAGTGAGGGCCACAGGGCGATAGTCATTAAGGCATGTCACAGGAGTTTTCTTAGGAACTGGGATAATGGTCGACTCTTTAAAGCAGTTCGGCACAGTACAGTTCCTTAGCGACAGGTTAAAAATGTCTGTTAGCACAGGAGCAAGTTGCTCAGAGCACAGTTTCAGGACACGAGGAGGGATGCCGTCCGGGCCAGGGGCTTTCCGGACAATGGTGCTGGACAAGACACGCCTGACTTCCTCCTGAGTCACGGTGAACGCACCTTGATTGAGGCAATCAGGAAAGACAGTAGGACAGGCATCGGCAGATTCGAAGCGGCAGTAGAACGTGTTCAGCTCATTAGGCAGAGCTGGGCCAACAGATCCGATTTTCCCAGCACTAGGTTTCCAGGACGTGATGGCTTTAATACCGCTCCACATGCGCCGAGGGTCATCTTCCTTAAAATAACCCTTTAACTTGTCCCCATAACTGCGCTTTGCAGATTTAATAGAACGTTTCAATGCATAACAGGATAGCTTATAGGCAACTGTATCGTTAGATTGAAACGCCAGAGCACGCTCATGAAGTTTTTGTTTCACTTCCGCATTCATCCAAGGGTTTTGACTGAGATGTACTTTAATGACCTTCTGTGGGACACAGCAGTCAATACAGAAGCGTATGTATCCAGACACAGCGTCACAGAATTCATTAACATCCTCTGATTGAAACACAGACCAGTCAGTGGCATCAAAACACCCTTGTAGCTTCATGCTAGCCTCCTCGGACCAACACTGCACAGTGCGTGAGGTTGGTTTATGTTCCCTGCTCCTCTGAGAGTATGAGGGAAGAAGGAGAACAGAGGAGTGATCGGACTTTCCAAATGGAGGTCTGAGACTGGACCTGTAAGCTCCCTTCACATTGCTGTAGCAGTGATCCAGAACATGTGCTCCTCTTGTAGCTCGAGTCACATGTTGGTAGAAATTTGGGAGTACAGTCTTTAAATTACATTTGTTAAAATCCCCAGCGACAATAATCACTGCATTAGGATGAGCAGTCTCGTATTTATGAAGGATCTCGCTCAGATCCTGTAGTGCTACAGTATAGTCCGCTCGTGGGTGGATGTAAACAGCGCATAAAAATATCACAGAAAACTCCCGCGGAAGATAAAAAGGGCGACAGCTCAAGACCAGGCATTCCAGATTGGCAGTACATGTTTGGTTCACGATGCGAGTGTCCGTGCACCAGCGCTGATTAATTAAAAAGCACACACCTCCACCTCTGGATTTCCCCGTGGTCTCCTTATCTCTGTCCGCGCGGTGAACGGTGAATCCCGGGGGCTGAACAGCAGAGTCCGGGACGCCTGGATGGAGCCACGTCTCGCTGAGGCAGAACACAGCGCAGTCTCGGGCCTCTCGCTGGCTCTGGACCCGACACAGAAGCTCGTCCGTCTTGTTGGGCAGAGACTGGACGTTGGCCAGGTAGATGGAGGGCAAAGGGGTCCTGGAGGAGCGGCTACGAACGAGCAGACCGCCTCGTTTTCCCCGGTGTCTGCGCCTCCTGCGTCGGCTCCCGGTACCCTGCTCCACACCGCGGAGAGCACGCCGGAGACGCCCAGTCCCCCCGCTCTGTTCGCGGCCATTGCCGCGGCCCGCCTGCCCTGTTTGACGGGCCTCACGAGTGGGGCACTCAATAAAGTCCAAGCACCTCAGTTCGGGTAAGACCTGCGATACTCCACAAGCTTGGTCCCGAATGTAGTGTCTCCCGGTCGTACTTCACGGTGGCAAGTGTATCACAGACGAAAAACAACATAGAACAGACAGTGCACACCAGAGCTCTTACTGAGGCGCCCTGACCCGGCGCCATCTTGCTCCCAGAGTTTAAAACAGAGTTCTGGTGGAGTACTTGGCCTTCTTGGAGTCCTTGTGAGGAGTACTGGACAGTGCACCGACCGGGGGACTTCAACGCCCATGTGGGAAATGCCAGTGACACTTGGAGAGGGGTGATTGGGAAGAACGGCCCCCCTGATCTGAACCCGAGCAGTGTTCACAGTTTGTCCATCACGAACACCATGTTCGAGCACAAGGGTGTCCACCAGTGCACGTGGGACCAGGACACCCTAGGCCAGAGTTGTCACACCCTTTGTTGTCGTATCATCTGACCTTCGACCGCGTGTCTCGGACACTCGGGTGAAGAGAGGGGCGGAGCTGTCAACCGATCACCACCTGGTCCCCCTGTCAGATGGACTTTCAACTCCCAGGTCCCGGCGGAGGAGGGGATATTGAGTCTGAGTGGACCATGTTCTCTTCCTCTATCACTGATGTGGGGGCCCGTAGCTGTGGTCGCAAGGTCTCTGGTGCTGGTCCCGGCCGCAACCCCCGAACCTGCTGGTGGACACCGGCAGTAAGGGATGCCGTCAGGCTGAAGAAGGAGTCCTATCATGCCATTATGGTTCGTGGGACTCCTGAGGCAGCTGTCCAGTATCGGCTGACCAAGCGCCGGCAGTAAGTCAGACCTGTTACCGGTGCATGTTGGCCTCCGCCAGGGCTGCCTTTTGTCATCGGTTCTGTTCACTGTCTCCATGGACAGAATTTCTAGGTGCAGCCAGGGGCCGGAGGGGGTCCGGTTCGGGGACCACAGGATTTCATCTCTGCTGTTTGCGGACGATGTTGTCCTGTTGGCTCCAACGAACCAGGACCTGCAGCATGCACTGGGACGGTTTGCAGCCGAGTGTGAAGTGGCTGGGATGAGAATCAGCACCTCCAATTCCGAGGCCATGGTGCTCGACCGGAAAAAGGTGCCTTGCCCTCTCCGGGTGGGTGGAGAGGTCCTTCCTCAAGTGGAGGAGTTCAAGTATCTCGGGGTCTTGGTCACGAGTGAGGGAAGGATGGAGTGTGAGATTGACCGGCGCATTGGTGCAGCGTGCGCAGTTATGCTGTCGCTGTATCGGACCGTTGTGGTAAAGAGGGAGTTGAGCCGAAAATTTCCATTGACACAGGATGGGGAGCGTTTGTCGTCGCCACGGCAACAAGGTAAAAAAGAAGTCTTGGGTCTAGACTTTGCCCTCTTTACTTTTTGAATGAGGAGGGAAAAACAGAATTATGTGCAAAATATTAAGCATTTTGAAAAAACTAAACGTGATTATTCCATGTAAAACTTTAACATAGTCTGTAGGGGGCGCTAATGGACCAACTTCAATTATTTCACTTTCAAATGACCTAGACGCTAGAGTAAAACCATGGATGAAAGTTTCGTGCAAGTGGGACTGATGTCTGATAAAGGAGTCTTCCAGAAAATGTGAGACAGGTTTCCTCTCTGACAATGTTGAAATCCAGTTTGAAACGGTTCTGGTGAGCTGTGCTACTGTAACTGGAGGATTTTATCTTTATTCTTTCTAATGTACTGTGCAGTATTTTTGCAGTCATTATCTAGGATTGTAATGCCTTGTATTGTTTCTGTTTTGTTTTGTTAAGCAGTTTAAAGGACTATAGATGGGTTTTCTTTGTTTCCGGGTGGATCCTCGAGACGATTGGGTCTCCTGCTTAGTCACCGCTTGTGACACACTCACCATTTTGGGCGTTATAATAATACACACTGTACCATCCAACCCTAACCCTAACCCATGGTTTAGACTCATCTTCAATTCTCCTGTTTATTTTGTGATATTTTCCAATGTAAGTTACCATGACAGGTTTCCATGGTAACGGTTGCTATGGCACCAACTATCAAAGCAGATGACATCACAGGGTTCCGGAACTCCAGCGTTTAACATATGAATGACACCGCGTCAAAGGAAATTCCAACCGTCGTAGAAAGTTCCAACCGTCAGATAAAATCGCAACCGTGACTTCTTAGAGGCCTTCGAGAGGCTTTTTCACTACAGAGTTAGAAATAGCAGCAAGAGATAGCAGTAAGAGATAGCTGCAGGATATACATATATATTCAGAGAGAAGGCATTGGGCTAAGATTTACTTTTGCCTCTCATCTTTATTAACCTGTTAGTATTTGTGTGCTTAGTTAAATACTAACAGAATGAGTGGTACTCCGCCTGAATGTGCTTCTAGTTCACAAACATACGGAGAGAACAATTGTCAGACTCCACTGGATTATGTAGTGATAGAGATGGGGGACGATACAGAGGACGAGACAGAGAACGAGACAGGGAGCTATCTGTCTCGCTTTAAATCTGTTTTTAGTAACTGGAGTTTTTTTGGTCTCTGGGCTTCCATCTTTGGTAAATGGAGGTTTCTCCTGCCTTGGGCTTCCGAGAGTGACACGGAGAGTGACACGGAGAGTGACACGGAGAGTGACACGGATAGTGAGACGGAGAGTGACACGGATAGTGAGACGGAGAGTGACACCGGGAGTGACACCGGGAGTGACACCGGGAGTGACATGGAGAGTGAGACAGAAGAGGCCAGAGCCGAGTGGGAGGGTCTTCAAGAGCAGCATAAACTGGCTCAAGAAGAACTGAAGCTTAAAGACCTTATGACGGGTTTAAAAAAAAAAAATAGTGGATATCAAAATTGCATGACAATGTCAATTTGAAAGAGATTCCGGCAAAAAAAATCCTATATTTTATAAAAAGAACGTGTTTTTCATGAATTTAAGTTGTCTATGCTCTAACCTGTGTGTGACGTCATAGCGGGTTACGCCCATGCATTGAAAACCATGGATCTATGCCACAGGACTGCCTTTTCTCTCTTCTCTCCACTGATGCCCAACACAATACTGCACTCTACAGGTGACAATTGCTCACTACACATAAATTGCCGTTTTGAGTGTGAAAAAATATCTGAGGTGGGAATTGAACCCCAGTTTCTGGATTGGCAGTCCATCAACACAACCACTGGACTATCTTAGTGACAATGAAATGGTACATTCTAGTAGTTATCTTAGACTCGCTGTACACGGTCTTGTCATCTTGAATATCCGCGAAAAAAGAACGAATACCAAATTGTAAACAACTTACAGCGTTGAAACGTACCCGTTCTGACGTCACCAAGGGCTGTGAAGTTTTTTCGTTTCTAAGGGCGTTGCTATGGGGTTATTTCGATTTGGGGGGATCAGACAAAAAAAACCTTTAGTAGTTCTCTTCTAAAATAAAATGGTATTAAAACTGTATTTCTAAATAAATCAAACCCGTCATAAGGTCTTTAAAGATGAACAGATCTTGGCTCTGCAGCAGGAAGTAACTGAGGTCACCGATCAGTTAGAGGCCGTTGAGACCAGTTTGAGGCGATCACTGGGTTTGGCGAACGAGCGATCGGTAAGGTGGGAGCAAGCCCACCAACAGCTGCAGCTCCAGTTATCAGAGAAAGATTCTCAGTCTGTAGCAATACAGATGGAGACCGAGACACAACTGAGGATTAGAGATGAACAGATCTTGGCCCTGCAGAAGGAAGTAACTGAGGTCAAAGATCAGTTGGAAGGAGTTGAGACCAGTAAAAGGCGTTCATTGCGTTTGGCGCAGGAGCGAGTGGAGCAGTGGAAGACCCAACAACAGAAGCCGTTACCAAAGAAAGACCGTCAGCTCCAGACTCTGATGGAGGGTAACGAGTCCATGACGTCTGATAATCAGACAGAGACTGGGCCACAGGTACCACTGGATCAGACGGTACATTTAGAGACAGAGGGCGGGATAGAGACTGCGATAGAGGGCAAGATAGAGACAGAGGTCCAAATCTTCTCCCAGAAAGACCAGGCCAGTCAAGGGGAGATACCGCAAAACAGGGAGCTCGGTCAGAATGTTAGGACGCTGGTCCAAACCTTCTTCCAGAAAGACCAGGCCGTTCAAAAGGAGAGACAGCGAGCTGAAGAATTACGAGAAAAAACTCAACGCAAGGACTCGGCTGCAAACTCCGGGTGGAACAGGTTGTAAGTTCATCACTACAGGCTCCTCCGTCGAGCAAAGACGTGTCTCAGTCCACTCCTGCTTCTGACGGCTTGCTATCTCCTGTTTTTGTCTTTTTTCCTGGAGTTTTGCCACAGACAACTTTAACAGAATGGAAATGATTAACTGGTCCCTCAACGCAATTGATTCTATCTTTTCAACACGTAAGCGTGGGTCTGGAGAGCCCGTGTGCCCGGACGGGACTTCACCAGCGGGGTATACTCTTGACAGCTGGAACAAGTATCAGCCCCTCTGTCTGTCGACCCTGTCCATTGAAGATTCGGAAGACGTATATATCTTTGGCATTTTGGTGGTGGGAATCCTCCTGTTTGGTTTTGGAGCAGTTCTCTTCTACCACAAATTCGGAGGCATGGCAGTTCGCAAGATTCACGACCTGCTGGCCGACAAAATTGATGGGATGTACAAGGAGCTAAGCCGTGTCGTGGTTGAGAGTGCCGTGTCTGGACAAAGGAGAGTGGTGTTGGTGGAACAGTTGGTTAAAGATCTCGCAGCTCGTTCACTCGATGGGCATAGAACTCTGGAATTGAGATTGAATGACATTGTGTGTCAGGCTTGAACTCTCTGACCCGGCTAGGATTTGCCCCTGTGTACGGTGGACTGAGGGCGCCGTAATTCGGTTTAATTGGAATTAACAGAATATCTGCCTGCTTTTGATTCTACATTGCATACAATATTGTCCCTCTCAGGCGATGTGGTTTTCTCCTGCTGTGTCTTCTCTCCACTCTTATCTCACATTCCTCGACCAAGGCCATAAACAAGGTCCCACAATCTACAACAACTCACACTATTTCAGTTAAGTCCAGCAAGGATCCCTCACCCCCGCCTCCCTCTACCTATCCATCTTGCTCCCTCCCTCCCCTCCATTCCTCATTGTGTTTCCGACTCACCCCCTCCCTGATCCCGCCCCCCTCTGACAGCTACATTGGGCCGGCTGCCGGAGGGCTCATCCCGAGAAAAAGATCCGTGATTTATACAAAGCACAATGTGTCTATCCAATTGTCTGTGAACTGTATGTTATTGCTCTCTGCTGTTTCTTGCTGCACACAGCGCCGCAAATGGCGAAGTGGCACGCTCTCTGCCAAGACAATTTCCAAGTGGTAACTTTGTTACTCACGTGGCAATAAAAATGATTCTGATTCTGATTCTGATTACAGCTGAGTGCTGACCACTACAAGCCTGAATGGTCAACACTCAGGCTTCTCATCAGGAAGATCCTGGGTTTGAATCCCAGTCGAAACAGGGCTTTTCTGAGTAGAGTTTTCATGTTCTCCCCAGGCCTGTGTAGGTTTCTTCTGGATGCTCCAGTTTCCCCTACCACTAAAAACATGTAGAATAGCTCCCCTCTCTGAGGGGCCAGGACTCCCCTGAAAAAGAGATGCTGAAATCTCAGTGGGAGATTCCTGGTTAAATAAATAAATCAAATGTTAGCGTTCCATTTGCTGAGAGTGTCAGCAAATGGAGCCATGAGGGTTGCCAGGTTGGGTTTGGGTCGTCTACAATAAGCTTTAAGGAGATGCAAAGCAGCAGAATGTACTGGAGAGTTTGTTGGGCTGTTTGTGCTTCTGGAGCTGTGAGGTGGCAACACAAACACCTGCAGATGTTGTAGATTCTACACAAAAAGGCCTCAACACGAGTCTATGTCTCAGTCCAGACCGTGTTGTAGATCAGGGAGGTCTGGCTGGTTCAGAAGGAGGTGTGGCTGAGGTCTCAGTCCAACAAGGCAGGACCGGACTCCTCATGGCCCCGGGTCCAGGCTCGACCTGAAGACCTGAGGAAATGAGTGTATTCTGGAGTGTTCCTGTTTGGTTGGAAAAAAAACCTCAGAGGGACCTCTGGAGAACCAGTCCGTCCTCCTGGTGTAGATCATTCAGGGTAAAGCGACAGCCTGAGTTTGCTCGTTTGACTTTGGATCTGTTCTGGCGTGTGAGGTGTAAGAAGGTTCAGATCCTTGTCCTGGATCTAAACTTGATCTAAGTCTGGATCAGCCAGTACATTTAGAGAAAGGGCGAGATAGAGAGGGCGAGATAGAGAGGGCGAGATAGAGAGGGCGAGAGAGAGGGCGGCTATAAATCACTTTGGGCGGCATGGTGGCCCGAGTGGTTAGCACTCGAGCTTCTCAGCAAGGAGGTCCTGGGCTCGAATCCCGGTCGGAACAGGGCCCTTCTGAGTAGAGTTTGCATGTTCTCTCTGTGCCTGCGTAGGTTTCCTCCGGGTGCTCCGGTTTCCCCTACTACTAAAAACATGTACAATAGATGGCTGTGGATCTAAACTAGATCTAAATCTGCATTAGGTTTAAAACAGCGGCGTAGACTCAGTAAGAGGTTATGAGGCTGTTTTTAGGTTTAGACAAATGTTGACTGTTCTCATGCACTTGTGTTGGACGGACATCTCTGGACTTCAGCAGATTCCAAATAAAGACAATAAATTCAAATATTGACTCAGATTTTCAGACTTTTTACTTTTTCTACTTTGCAGCTGTTTGATCATTAGATTTTAAATATTTTCCTTCTCTGTTCTCCCCCTCACTGCTGTCTCTCTCATCTCTCTCTGGTCTCTCTCTCATTTCTCTCTGGTCTCTCTCTCATCTCTCTCTCCTTCATCTCTCACTTTTAAGTCAAAATAAAACAAAATCCATACCATGAAAGTACCGCAGCTTTAAATCAGAAAAACCCTCATTACAAATATACTGACGAATATTCACAAAATGCTGCACATCAGACAAAGGAATATGCACTCAGGAATCATAAGAGATGACCAGCTTACAAAACCAGACAATTATTGACTCCAAGAATAAACAAATGCTCTCTCCCACTCTCGACGAGGGCAAAAGTCCAACACAATCAGGCGCCCAGTGGTGGGGGGCATTGTTTGCTCAGGTGGAGATGGAAGACCGGGGCCAGACCAGGACCAGGGGCCAGACCAGTCCCAGATCTGTGACGTCATCGGACCCTTTGATAGAAACTGCTGGGAGGAGATTGGCAGTCAGTTAGCGCAGGGGAAGAGGAGAGGGATATATTAGTTTTAGGAGCACACTTTTTTGTTGAATATTTTGTATCTGATTGTAAAGATAATTAAATGCAGATGTTAAACGTGAAGATCTCTTGTCTCGCTCTTGCATCGACTTTGGATACGTCAGTCAAAGGGAATTATGTTGCGAACTTGCACAATTGGTGCTGGACTACATACTTTTTTGCCCCACTTGTAATTCCTCTTCCTGTCTCTAAGACAGAAACTGATTCTCTCTTGCTGTATCCTCTCTTTGGAATCTCTGCTTTTACTATCTCTCTCTATGGTTTCCCTTTGTTTTCCCTTGATGATCTTTCCATTCTCAAACCAGGTTTCCAAATGAGCCCCAAAGATCAACATAATATACCTAGTATTTTTGAATTTGTTTTCTGTCCTTTTGTATCCGTTAACGTTTTCCCCGGAAACTCTGGCAGGCATGATAAGTCGGCGATGAAGACTATTCCTCGCACCACCCAATGTTAGCCAGATCAAGAGTCTATCTAACATTCAAAATACTCCCCCTTACGTACTAAAAGCCACATAGGCGTCAACTCAAATTCTCCCACAAAATCCACCCGTCCCAGCGCTATATTCACAATAAGTATGTGCCACCCTCCCCTCCGGCTAATGTAGACCAACCTCCCCCCCTAACTCATGCACCAAGATAACACCTCCACCTCACATCGCCCCCCGCGTCCACCACCCAACTCAGCCGGCCCCTCCCCTAACCCATCTCCAAAAAACCCAGTCCACCTTCAAGCCCCTCCCCGTCCAACTACAAGCAACCACGCCTCTATCCATCCTCCTCCGCGCCTTCCCCTTCCCTCTTTTACTCTAAAAACATAGGATGCAAAGGGGTTCTCTGCTCGCAGCCACTGGCAGTATAGTTAGAGGAGAGACTCCGGATGGGGGCCCTGTCGTGAAGCCATCCGGTGCCTTTCCCTTAGTGATCACTCAAAGAATACATAACAGAAAAACATCTGGAGTTAATCAGTCTAATCAGGAAAATCTAATTCTTGTTCCGTGTAAGAATCATCGACCACAACCGTGAAATTCATGAAAACTTTGCAAACTTGCTATGCTAAATGTCAGATCTCCTGTGTTAAAAGTCTTTTTTTAATCAATAATTTTATTTGTTCTTATAATTCTAGATCTTTTGTTCATTTCATGGCTTGATTGAAAATGCAGTTTTAATGGCATCACCACCAAATTTCAAATTTGAATTGAAAGACGGGGAAAACAAAAAAGGAAGGCTTTAGCTGCCATTTTCAGAGACCACTTTGTCTCCACATAGAATGTCTCTTGGGAAGTTTCCGTCTTTTCTTTTGAATATGTGTCTTTTAAAATACAAACAAAAAACCAATCTCCTCCAATACGTCTTCGTTGTCCTATACAAGCCACCGACAGTAGTCATGTCACAGTTTTAGTTGATCCTTTTACAGGTTGCTTTCGGTTGTATGCCACAGATTTTGATAGTTTGGTTATTACAGGTGATTTCTAATATTCATGTGGATTAATGTTGATGACAGAAATGCTTAAAGAAGACTGAGTTCTCTTCATGAATCCTTTGGTCTCACTCAGCATGTGAGTGGCCCCCACCCACAGCAGAGGGCACACTATTAGATTCTGTTAGTTACAATAGTTGGGCGATTATTCATAATGTAAACGTGGTCGATGTATGCGCTTTCCGGATCAGTTTTCTGTATATTGTTTTGTACTTGTGTTTTCACTAACTAACCACCAGTGGGCCCTCACTGCAACTGGGCTACGAAGAAGACACACACTATTTATGGGAATGATAAACTTTGAGATATGATCGTATTCTATGAGGATGAACTGTTTAACTCTGTACCTATTATTATTATCATGATTCTCTAAACTCAGAGAAAACACAACAGTCAAACAGATAATTATTTAATGAAATATCTCAATACTTTGCTCCTCTGAAACGAAATATGCATGTCGAAATATCGCGATACTGAACAGAATCTTTTTCCCCTCCCACTGATATCTGTCATTTATGCCACAGATTCCAACCCATGTGTAACCTATAGTTGTAACCATAGCACTATTAAACTATTAAACTAATAAACTATTAACTCATTAAACTATTCTAGTTCTCAGAAACGTTTCAGATCCTCTTCTCAATATCAAAACCAATTTTAAAATACAAATCCTACACCTCCAGGACCAGCGATAACTGCTAATTCAATTCTGCTCTTCGGATTCTTTGGTCCCAGGACTGGCTGCTTTAATTAAAACGTGATTTGGGCAGCGACCGGGGCAGGGCAGGGACCGGGGCAGGGACTGGGGCAGGGACCGGGGCAGGGACCGGGGCAGAGACCGGGGCAGAGACCGGGGCAGAGACCGGGGCAGGAACCGGGGCAGGGACCGGGGCAGAGACCGGGGCAGGGACCAAGGCAGGGACAAGGACCGGGGCAGGGACCGGGGCAGGGACCGGGGCAGGGACCGGGGCAGGGACCGGGGCAGGGACCGGGGCAGGGACCGGGGCAGGGACCGAGGCAGGGACAAGGACCGGGGCAGGGACTGGGGCAAGGACCGGGGCAGGGACCGGGGCAGGGACCGGGGCAGGGACCGGGGCAGGGACCGGGGCAGGGACCGGGGCAGGGACCGGGGCAGGGACCGGGGCAGGGACCGAGGCAGGGACAAGGAACAGGGCCGGGACCAGGACCGGGGCAGGGGCAGGGACCGGGGCAGGGACCAGGACTGGGGGTGGTAGTGTAATAGGATTGGCAGCTTTGGTCCGTCTCCAGCTGAGACTATCACAGACCTCTGGGTGAGGCTGGACCGGAGCCAGGACCAGGTTCAGGGCACAATAGATTCTGGGACCGGTCCAAATGTGGAGGCATCAGAAGAATCAGAGCAAAATAATCATCAATACAATAATAGGTCTTAATTATACAGCACTTTATGGACACTTCAAGACGCTTTATGAAAGTTCTCTCTGGTCCCTCTCTCTGGTCTCTCTTTGGTCTATAGCTCTCTGATCTCTCTCTAGTCTCTCTGGTCTCATTCTGCTCCCTCTCTCTGGTCTCTCTTTTTGGTCTCTGTCTCTGGTCTCTCTCTCTAGCCTCTCTCTGGTCTTTCTCTCTGGTCTCTCTCTCTGGTCTCTCTCTCTGGTCTCTCTCTCTGTCTCTCTCTCTGGTCTCTCTCTCTAGCCTCTCTCTGGTCACTCTCTCTGGCCTCTCTCTCTAGCCTCTCTCTGGTCTTTCTCTCTAGCCTCTCTCTCTGGTCTCTCTCTCTGGTCTCTCTCTGGTCTCTCTCTCTAGCCTCTCTCTGGTCACTCTCTCTGGCCTCTCTCTCTAGCCTCTCTCTGGTCTTTCTCTCTAGCCTCTCTCTCTGGTCACTCTCTCTGGCCTCTCTCTCTAGCCTCTCTCTGGTCTTTCTCTCTAGCCTCTCTCTCTGGTCTCTCTCTCTGGCCTCTCTCTCTGGCCTCTCTCTGGTCTTTCTCTCTGGTCTTTCTCTCTGGCCTCTCTCTCTGGTCTCTCTCTCTGGTCTCTCTCTCTGGTCTCTCTCTCTGGCCTCTCTCTCTGGTCTCTCTCTCTGGCCTCTCTCTCTGGCCTCTCTCTCTGGCCTCTCTCTCTGGTCTCTCTCTCTGGCCTCTCTCTCTGGTCTTTCTCTCTGGCCTCTCTCTCTGGCGTCTCTCTGGTCTTTCTCTCTGGCCTCTCTCTCTGGTCTCTCTCTCTGGTCTCTCTCTCTCTAGCCTCTCTCTGGTCTCTCTCTCTCTGGTCTCTCTCTCTGGTCTCTCTCTCTAGCCTCTCTCTGGTCTCTCTCTCTGGTTTTGTCCCTTTGGCTAATCTTGTTTCACCACAGTCAGAATGTGCCCAGATTAAGATACAAAACCACTGGATTCAAGCCTTTATTTCCTCATATGTGATCATTTTTTGCAGTGCAGACATAATCCATAGAAACAGTATCTTACGGATCTTCGAGACCTCTGCTCGTGCTCTCGTTTAGCACCAGTCTTCCCTGACCTCCACTTGACTCTGCCCACTGCCTTCAGAAATCTTGCCAGTGATAGAAAAGATCGGCCAATCAGGCGCCGCTGCGAGGAAGGAGGCATTCCCATTGGTCGCTCGCCACATTCTAATACGGTCTGAGAGGAGGGGTGCGTTACAGCAGAGGAGGTATGGGATATTTGTCGGATTATTTCTCTTTCCGTCTGTGATGCGTTCAAGGACTATAGGATCAGATATATTCTATCATTGTCTGAAGGCAAAGGCAAGTTTATCTGTATAGCACAGTTCATACACAAGGAAACTCAATGTGCTGGAAAAGAAAGTACGTTAAACAGATTAAAGATACAATTCTTCAGTTGTTGCGGCAAAAAAAACTGTTTTCAACCTGGATTTGAACAATGTTAGAGAAGAAGCCTGTCTCACATTTTTAGGAAGACTGTTTTAGATTATGGCTGCAATGAATCTGAAACGCTTTCTCTCCATTTTTAGTTTTGACTCTAGGCACCAGCAGGAGGCCCAGTCCCTGTGCTCCTCAGAGTCTCAGCAAGAGGCCAGTCCCTGTGCTCCTCAGAGTCTCAGCAAGAGGCCAGTCCCTGTGCTCCTCAGAGTCCCAGCAAGAGGCCAGTCCCTGTGCTCCTCAGAGTTGGTTCATAAGGGACTAACGTGTCACAGATGTTCTTTGGTTCGAGGCCCTGGAGAGACTTTGTCATGGTGTGGACTTTAGTGTGACTTCCTGTTGCCCTGTGATGATTCTCTGCCGTTATTCTCCACATTTCTCCCCATTTTTGAGTCCCTCTTCTAGGGGTGGGCGATATGGCCTAAAATTCATATCGCGGTATAATTTGGGTCATAGACGGTAGACGGTATATATCGCGGTATAATTTGGTGTGTGAATTTCAATATAGGTCTAGCAGGTTCTTGCATAAAATAGTCAAGATTGTTAATTATTTATATATTATAATCTAATATATATATATTTTGAGTTAGAAAATCAGTTGTGAGACGAATAAAGAGACAAATAACATACATTATTTATGTATGTTACAGTAAATACCATTCACTGTAAAAGCAATTTTTAAAAAGAAAAACATATGCATTCATTTAAAATATAAAAAACTCACAAATGTTTAAATCAAAGTCTGTAGGAGTTAGACATGGTCATTATTTATAGTGTCTGAGAGTTTTGTGCAGGTACATGACTTCAGTAAAAGCTGTTTGTTTACAAAGCTGGTCTTGACATTTGTTGACGCTCCCTAAGCGCTTTTCTCTGCGCTGGATGATTCAATGGATTTTATGTTCATTAAAACAGGGCATTGGATTTGAACAATTGATGTAAATGGTCATTTTGGCACAAATAATTTTGTTTAACAAAGTAGCTTTCGTGAGATATTGACCGCGGAGGTCCGAATCTGACGCTAACTTTCCCAAACTTCTGCTGTGATGCTGCGGACACGGCACATGGATCTATTTTGGCTCACGCTGGCGCTTCGAGCTTACGCCCCTTTGACACTGATTGGCCAAAAGGTAGACTCTTAAACTGTGATTGCTGTGTGTGTATTTACCTCTGCTGGGGCCGCTGTGACAACAATACATAGACAGAAACACTGTGTTAATGCCGTGCTGTTGTTCGTTGTTTCCAGTGGTGTCCAATAGTGCTAGGCTAATGCTAGGCTAATGCTAGGCTAATGTGCTAGGCTAATGCTGCTGAATGCCGGTTTGTTTTGATGCTCTCTGCTGGCGTCAGAGCCCGCGCAATTTAATGACATAATGACCTATCGCAATATGCCGGTATAACAAAAATCTCTACCGTGGGCCAAATTTATACCGTCTACCGCTTATACCGTTTATACCGCCCAGCCCTACCCTCTTCACTTCACCACAAACAACAAAAACCAAATCATTTACTCTACCTTCACTCACAACATACACTGCAAAAAAGAAAGAGGTAATAAAAGCTTGAATCAAGTGGTTTATAAAAAAAGTTTTATTTTTTTAAAGTTTTATCTGAGTTAATTTTGAGTTAAAACCAGATTCTCCAACGGGACAAAGTCATTTAGTTATTTCAAGAGCTGTCACTTTATTTCCTCATTCCAAGCGAGACATTTATCTTTTCAAAACAATGTGCTTATATTAAGAAACATGTCATCAAATTTTTGCCATTTTTGACTTGTTTTGTTGAAATGTTGAAACAGTTCAGACAGATTACAGAGACTGCTTTGGTTTAAGGAACAATCATACGAAAGTGTCCGTTATGTCATGGTCCCAAACTTTTACACGACACTCAGGCCTCGGAGCGAACACCTCTGCCCTCAGAGTGAACACCCCGGCCCTCGGTACGAACACCTCTGCCCTTGGAGTGAACACCCCTGCCCTCGGTACGAACACCCCTGCTCTCGGAGTGAACACCTCTGCCCTCAGAGTGAACACCCCTGCCCTCGGTACGAACACCCCTGCCCTTGGAGTGAACACCCCTGCCCTCGGAGTGAACACCTCTGCCCTCGGAGTGAACACCCCTGCCCTTGGAGTGAACACCCCTGCCCTCAGAGTGAACACCCCTGCTCTCGGAGTGAACACCCCTGCCCTCGGACTGAACACCCCTGCCATCGGACTGAACACCTCTGCCCTCGGACTGAACACCTATACCCTCGGAGTGAACACCCCTGCCCTCGGAGTGAACACCTCTGCCCTCGGACTGAGCACCTATACCCTCGGAGTGAACACCCCTGCCCTCGGAGTGAACACCCCTGCCCTCGGACTGAACACCTCTGCCCTCGGACTGAACACCTCTGCCCTCGGACTGAGCACCTATACCCTCGGAGTGAACACAAATGGCCTTGGAGTGAGCACCCGTGGCCTCGGAGTGAACACCCCTGCCCTCGGTACGAACAACCGTGGGCTCGGTGTGAACACCCCTGCCCTCGGTATGAACAGCCGTGGCCTCACACATATGCCTGGACAGTGGGTCAGGTGTACTCGGCCCCAAAGCCACTTGCTGAGTGTAGTAATCCAAAAGGATTGGGGAGTATTTTTAGTAATGGATTTACTGACGTCTGTTGATCCTTTGATGGTAGGACCAGAGCAGTGATGCACATCTGGTTCAGGAGTCTAGGCCACGATGATTTCACCTGATCCCGCTCTGACAACACCACCTCTGTGACACGAGCACTCCCAGAGCAGTCGATTTGACGGCTTTTCGTTGCGTAAGTGTAAACACTCTCATGCTTTTGGTCTTTAAGACTTTTTCTGTTTCTACAAAAACTGCAAAAAGTGATGAAAGATAAAAATAAAGAGGCTCTGAAATACCACAAAACCAACGCTAACTGATGCACATGTAAACAGTGTGTTGCCATGGTAACTAGCTATGGCAACCATCCATCCACCCAACCATTTTTTTCCGCTTTATCCGTTGCCGGGTCGCGGGGGCAGCAGTCTAAGCAGAGACGCCCAGACTTCCCTATCCACACACACTTCCTCCAGCTCGTCCGGGGGGACCCCAAGGCGTTCCCAGGCCAGCTGAGAGACATAGTCCCTCCAGCGTGTCCTGGGTCTTCCCCGGGGCCTCCTCCCGGTGGGACGTGCCCGGAACACCTCCCCAGGACCTCCCCAGGAACACCTCCCCAGGAAGACAGGTCTCCGTTCCTATAGCATTAGCACTCTTACCTCCAGGCTGGGGCAATAATGCTAACATTATTTTCTAGGGGGTCCATTAATCTTTTTGGGTCATCGGGTACATTATGTCCCCACAGGGGGTCGTCTCGGGATTCGGGGCGGGGAGATGGAGAGCAAAGGGATTCTCGGGAAACGCTGGGATTCTCTGGGTGTTGTTGTTGGCCTGCTTCACCGACGGTGGGCCGCACGCCGGCCGACTTCTTCAGCGTAGGGAGCCGCGGATGGGCTGGTCCGTCCCCGCCCCTCGGTGTCCTCGTCTATGGCCTCAGTGGCCAGCACCAGCACGACAGTGGTAGGCGTGGATCCAGTTGTCCTCTCCGCGACCTTCAACGGCAGTGTCCGTGGAGGAGGGCGAGGAATGGGCCGAGCCAGCGCTTGGACCGCCAATGCTTTCGTCTCGTTTCTTCACCAGGACCCAGTCGAAAACAAAAATACACAAAATCAGGCTTGCTATCTTGTGCGGGATGCCCGCCTGCCAGTCCTGTGGCAGGGCGCTCCTGACCTGGGCAGAAATAGAGGGACAAAAGTGCATTAATTTCCTTACAATAGGACAGCATGTCGTCATCACACAAAGAGGTGCTTGGCAGGATCTCTGTATCGGGGTCCCGCGCCCAACGTGGGGCTAGCGGCAGAGCTTTGAGTGCCATTCTCTCGCTCGCACGTGCCTCCGGACCAGGGGGCGTAACTGCAGTGTTTACGTATATCAATGCCCAGAAATTCACCCACTTCCTCAATGACTTTTGCTACAAAGTGACTGCCATTGTCCCTAGAGATTTTCCTCGGGACACCCCATCGTGGCACAATTTCTGTGAGCAGAGCTTTCACCACCGCGTTTGCTCGTGGCGTGTAATGCCTGCAAATACTTCAGTCCATTTGGACCAGAGATCCGCCAGACCCAGACAGTATTTACTTACCTTGGCATGGTGTGAGTTCAACAAAGTCCTTTTGGACATGTTGAAAATGGGCGCAGGGGCGGAGGATGAGCAGCCTGTTGGATACTTTTGGGACTTACCTGGGTTGTGCGCGAGGCAGATAGCGCATGTTTGGCTGAATCTCTGTGCAAATGCCGTAAACCCCTTTGTATACCATTTTGTGTGATTAAATCACACATCATCCCTCCTTTTGAGGCATGGTCTCGACCATGTGCTAAAATTGCAAACTGTCTGAAGAAATGCCGTGGTAGGCACGGTTTGCTGTCTGGTCCCAGCCACACACACCATGCCGTCGTTGAGCCCCATTCCCCTCCCACACAGCAGCGTCTCTGCGCCGCTGGATCGCTGACAGAGAGGAAAATATCAAACGTCTTGAGTGAGGTAGTGTGTGTGTGTGTGTAGAGGTGCGTATGCCGCTGCCTTGTCCGCGCGCCGATTCCTGCAGAGATGGGATCAGTGGCATTAGTGTGGGCCTGGCATTTGCATACAGCGATCTCTAAGGGGCAACATTACAGCTCTCAGCAGACGTTCAACCTGTGTGGGAATTAAGAATTGGGTTACCATCAGATTTCCATAAAATTGCGGTGTTTCCCACAGTGCTTCCCAGTCGTGCACCACAGAGAAACCATAACGCGTTATCACAGAATATGTTAACAGTTTTGCCCGCTGCCAGCTCACAAGGCCCTGGTGGGCGCGACCAGTTCAGCGGTTTGTGCTGAATGGTAGTGGGGCAAACTACCAGAGTCTATAGTATCAAAATCAGAACACACAGCATAGCCGACTCGGTTCTTCCCCGTGTTGTCACGTGACGCGGCTCCGTCTGTATAAAAAATCAAGTCAGGATTAGTCAGAGGCACCTCTTTCAGGTCTGGCCTGGGAGTGCAATATCTGTTCTATTGTGGCGATACAGCAGTGTGCTTTCCCCCCCCCCCCCTCCCCTTCCTCTGGCGTGGGCAGCAGCGAGGAGGGTTCATCTGTGTTCATCCCTTCACCGTAGTACAAAGAGCACCGTGTTGTACCCCAGCCAACGAGCCGCAGAAAGCGAGAGGCCCTCTGCTCTAACAGGATCAGGGAAACAGCATGGGGCACAAGCAAAGTTAGTTTCAGTGTATCCACAAGGTCAAGTGCAGTAATTTGTCAGAATTTCCCTGCCCCAGAAGCTGCAGAGAGGCCGCAAACACAGCAGCCCGTCGTTCTGCAGGTCCTTTTAGTTCACAAGAGACAAAAACCAATGTTAAAACAGTAATAGAAATGACAGATACCAAACCTGATTTCAAAAGGTTATATTGAAGATTTTGCAAGCATTATTACAAGATAACGGTCCGCGAACAGATCTCGCTTCGCGTTCAGACTAAGGAGTGGCCCCGGGGACGTCTTCACTCCTCCTGGTCAGAAGAAAAAGAAAAAGTCCCCCGTGCCTCCTCCTGTACATCTTTTATACTGTACATCCAAGGTCACTGACATCACCAGATATGTATGGACTCTATGACTTCTTCTGGCCAGCTGCCAAAGTTTGCACCTGCTCTGATAACGACACAGTTGTTTTTCTCTTGTCCCCCTCCCATTCTCACACAGACTAACCTTGAACTCACTGCTCTTTGAGATTTACACAAACAAGTGCTAATTTGGCAATAGAAAAAAAACAATACTAAACTGTTTTTAGTTTTAACTGGTGCAAGAGTTAAATATTCCAACAGTCCCCCTGTTGGCCGGAGAGGAACTCTTCGGACATCCATCACTCTCGTCTCAGATGGCCCATCTTCATCATAGTTGAATCCAGCATTACATCCTATACTCAGTCTAATCCCCAGTCTTCACGACGATCTGTGAACTCCTAAACCACCCCATGTGACATTATGAAAAATGTGGTGGTCTTCCACTCAGCCCTTACTTCAGACCCCCCAAAAGCCTCTGGGCGCGACTGAGCATCCAACTCACCCTAAACTACATACATTGAAGTGATCCTATAAAACAATCTACAATATATGTGGGTGTGCTGCGGTGTCTAGTCTGTGTAACAAAAACAATAGTTGCAAGAGCTGTGGAGAAAGAATATGTTTGTGTCGTGCATCAATTTGAATTATGTAATTTTTTAATTTTAATTTTTAATTTTTATAATTTTTTATCGCATCCCCGTTTTTTTCCCAAGTCCCTCTTACAATTTTGCAAGGTTATGTGCGTTATTTACATGCAAGCAGTTATACATTTTTGATTAAAATATTTTGATAATATCATAAAGCATACTCACAACTCCTCTGGTGATATTCTGACAATATCACAGGCCATACTCACCCGTTCTTCTGATGATTGTCCTTTATGGCTTAGGCTATGGTCATCAATTCTTCTGGTTCCCACTGTAGGTCCTGGGTTAGTAGCAGTTGTCTTTCTGCCACCTTCCCTTCCACAGCGGCTGTTATCACTCTGTTACATAAGGATCGTATGCACGGAATACAACAGCATCCACATAGCGTCAGGATTGCTGCAAATACAGCCACCGATAGCAGAGTTGATGCTATCAGTGCCTTATATCTGCCAAACACATCCAACCACCCATCCCACATTGATTGGTCTACTCCTGAATGTGCCTTCATTTCTTGGGATAGTGCCTTTAGTCCCTGAAGGGCCCTTGTTAATTTTCCATTTGGGGCAGTATTATTTGGGATAAACGTACAGCACGTAGGGCCAATCAATGAACAGGCTCCGCCTTCTTTGGCTAAAATCATGTCAACAGCAAGTCTGTTCTGGAAGGTCATTAAGGATGTGGCTGATAATTGTTCATGAATTGCCTCAAATCCATCATATGTATAATTGCTTAGCCTCTGTATGTTGTAATGTAAGTAGTTGATCCGATCGACGTTCTTATTTGGGGTTATTGGAAAAATTGCGGAGATTATTGGGATGTTTTCAAATCCTGATGCAATTTCATCAACCAATTTGTATTCATTTGGAATTCCCCTAGGAATACCTATTGCATCAATATAAACTGGACTTCCCTCCTCTGGTCTAGCCAGTGCCCTTCTTGATCTGGTTTTTACACTAATGATTTGTTTCAAAATCTCTGGCTTCTCTAGATCCACTGGAGATATTTCAATTGGTATAAGTAATGAGATCAACACACACATGCCATCCCACAGAGGGTGTAGATATCCCCTTAAAGACTTGCCACCACAATACCACCACACATCTGCTCTGGCTACTGTCAACTTGTGTCCATTTAATTTTTCTGTGAAATCCTCATACCTAATGCATAAGGATCTATTTACATGTCCTACTTCCCTTTTTTCTCCACTAAGGACCTTCCTAATGACGCAGGTGTATTC